GTGTTGTATTTTTCTTATCAGGAATTTCTTGGCTTGTCATAAATTCATATCATGTTCTATTTTAATTACAACAATTAATTGCTCTTTTTAATTTTTATACATTTATGATTATTAGTATTATTTTTTGAGTTGGTTTTATTATATTTTCAACACCATAATTATATTAGTAGTGATTATAAATAATAATTATTATACATATAAGTCAAATAATCATAAATATCCCAAGAGAAATTACTTTGAAAGTTTTTTTGGATATAGAATGATTATATTGTCACTAGAAAGGCTTTCATTGTCAATAGAAGTCTTCGAAGACTTTTATTGTCAATGGAACAAGGCTTCAAATACTTTTACTTTTAATAGAAAGCTTAAAATACTTATTTTGTCAATAAAAAACTCGAATGACTAAAAAAAAGTTAAGCACGCTCCACGTTGTGTGCCAATAAAGCAGGCTCTACTTTGGGTGTAAATGAAACAGGCTTCACGTTGGGCGCCTATAAAGTAGTTCGTGAGCGCAGCTGGTATGGCCTCATCTGAAACAACAAGATTAACTTTTTATTCCTTATTTAGGAATTGCTTTCAGCTTATGATCTGAGTCCATCAACTTGGGTATGCGTGGTTAATAATCTTAAGCCTTCAGTGTTTGCTAAACGAATTAGAGTCGGAGAGTCCGGACTCGGAGTGTAGCGATTTTATTGACTTTTCAGCTATGCCATTTTATTTAATCAAATACATCGCTTACATATTAGGATAAATAGCTAAACCTTACATTAATCTATAAATAAAGATGCCTTATGTGTACTAGCCTACTTTAAATCTTAACATAATAGAGCAACAGCGTGCTGTGTACACAACTTCCTTAATATATATATCAGGGACGAACGCAGGGGGGCGGCCCGGGGTGCCCGGGCCCCCCCGAAATGAAAATTTTTCAAAGTAAATTTATGTTTGTAACAGCGATTTTTTTCATTTTGTACTAAATGAAATGTACTCAGACTTAGCTGACTCCTTCGCCTCCTTCTCGGTCTACCTCGCGATTTATTGAAATTAGATTAAGCTTAGGTAGTACTTATGAGAAGCAAGATTCTTCTCTAGTATTGGTTGTATAAACATGTAGTAATATCAGTGATGTAGATTTTGGTACTATTTACAAAATATTTACATAGTTTACCATTAATTTCAAATATTTAAATGTTAAATGCGCTAAGTTGTTATTTACACTATCGTAAATAAAATACCTAATTTGAATTAAAATAACAGGTCCGTTCCAGAACCCTAAAGAATCTACTAATTTTACAAGTTTTGCAACTTTTTACTCGATAACCGTTCCTGAACCCACAAAACTTGTAAAACGTTGAGTCAAATTTAAGAGAGCACAAAACAAAATGGCGTTCTCTTTGAAAACTTTTTACTCGAGAAATTTGGCCGAGTAAAAATGGTAAACAGGAATGCCTACTTCTGATTGGCTGTTGTGTTGATTTTGAAGTATTGCCATCTAATTTTGCCATATTTACTAGATTTCTGTTCCCGAACTTTTTAAATTATTTTGTACTCTGAGAGCGATTTTGAAATGTTTCCCTTTTACTAGCTTTACTATTAAAAAAGTACTTGAACAGACCAAAGGTTGATACGTTCCAAAATGCTTTGGATAGATGTAGTGACATCCGAGTAATAAATTTGTAGAAGAACAATTCTGAAATATAATGAGTACATACGGTGCCTTGCAAAATCCCATCAAGTTAAGAACTTCCAAAGTAAAATAAATTGAGCTGTATAGTCGTCCGACTGAAATTTTCTCCAGAGCATAACTAGGTCTGATAGTAGCAAAACCACACAATAATCGTCGGCATCATCCGCATAATGATTATAGAATTCGTCCCAGACAAAGATGAATATCTCCACTATATGATCCATATTGAAAAGAATACCGAATCTTCACAATAATCGTCGGAGTCGTCCGCATAATGATTATAGAAATCGTCCGAGACCGAGAGACCGTATAGTCGTTCGACTAAAAATATGTCTAGCACACAACTATATCTGATAGGCTTTGATCCATTCAGACTGGAAGGAGGACCATTGCTTAACCACACAATAATCCTCTGCGTTGTCTGCATAATGAATACAGAAATCGTCTGAGATCATGTCCTTATAGTCGTTCGATTGACAATTAATTAAGTCTTGTAGACTTCATGTCCCTCAGACTGGAAGAAAACCCTTGGTGTGGTCTAGCCAAGGACTTCGCTAAACCACACAATAATCATCGGCGTTGTCTGCATAATGATTATAGAAATCGTCTGAGCTCAAATCCATATAGTCGTTCGATTCACAATTAATGAAGTCTTGTAGGCTCATGTCCCTTAGACCGGAAGGAAGAGTTTGGCTATGGCGTGGTCTAGCCAAGGTCTTCATCAGGCCGACCTCATAATGCTTATAGAAATTGCCCGCTACAACAAGGTCTTGAAGGCATAATATCCCTTCAGACTGAAAGGATTAGAGTGGTTAGATTACACACTAATCGTCGGCGTTATCCGCATAATGTTTAAAAATTTGTCTAGGTCTGATAAGCTTCATATCCCTTGAGAATGGAAGGAAGAACGTGGCTACACAAAAAAAAAACGTCGGCTGTCGTCCGCAAAATGATTATAGAAATCATCAGAGATCAAATCCGTGTAGTCGTCCAGCTCAAAATGTGTCTAGGTCGGTAGATTTTATGCTATATTAAGCTTTGAAATATATTCTGAAATCTTCTGTATATAGTAGAAAACTTCTTCAGGTCGTCAGTAGGCTCTAGAATATTTTTCATATTTTTTAAGAGTCATGGAGGTATCTAAAGGCTATGGAAATTGTTTTAAAAAACTTCTAAAGGTGATCGAAGATTTTCCAAGCATTCTAACGAGTTTGATGGTCTTTGAAGCGTTCTACTGGAAATATTATGATTTGAAATGTATTCTCTTAGGGTAAAACAACTTTTTGAGGCACTAGTACAGTTTTCATGTCTTTAGTAGAGTTGGGTAGTTCCGGAACGAACTAGTTCATTGGAACTATTCCGAGAAGGGAACGATAGGAACTAGTTCCAACTCTTTAATTAATATAGTTCCTTTTTCTGATCTCGTTCCTTTTTTGATCTCGTTCATTTTTGGTCTCGTTCCTTTTTCTGATCTCGTTCTTACGCTCATCAATTTATTATTGTTCAAATTAGTTCAATTTTCCTGCACTTGAATTATGTAGCTTCACTTCATTTTTTTTTTTAATTTTCAATCGTCTATTAACAAATCAACACGGAACTGTGTGAGCGAAAAAACAACAAAAAGACCGATGAAAGAGAGAGATTCAAAGGAACTATATAGCAGTCGGAACTATATATAGCAGTCGGAACTATATAGAGCAAAGAATCTATTTGGAGCAAAGGAACTACATTAAGGAACTAGTTCCTTTTTACAAAGGGAACGAGAAAGATTGATCCGCTACATGAACTACATTGCCCAACTCTAGTCTTTAGAGAGCTTTTGAAGTCATATAAATGTGATAGAAACCATTTTGCGGGGCTTCTAAAAGCGATAGAAGATTTTCCAGAACCCATTAAATGATTCTGACTATTTTGAAGTGTTCTACTGGACATATGAATGTTTGAAAAACAAAAACAAAAGGTACTAAGCGAACTAGAGCAAAAAAAAACGAATGGAGCAAAGAGAACTAGATGAAAAAAAGAACGGGGACTAGTTCACGGTATTAATTTTTTGAAATGGTTCGAAGACTTTCAAAGAAATTTTTTGTGACAAACGAGGATTTTTGAAGACTTGCAAAGGTGAAATGAAAAACTTTTTCGAAGAAAAAATATTTTCAAAAAAATTCTTCAATTAGCAGACCTTTCAAAAATATTCTCTAAAAATCCATGGCTTTGGTAGACCCTGAAAAAATATTCTTTAAAAAATCCATGCCTTTGGTAGACCTTCCAAAAATATTCTTTAAAAATCCAAGGCTTTGGTAGACCCTAAAAAATATTGTTTAAAAAATTATCGAAGGTCTTCTAATATATTCTTTAACAAAATCCACGCCTTTTGTAGACCTTGAAAAATATTCGTCTAAAGTTCGCGTCTCTATATTTTCTGAAAATCCACACTCAAATAATAATAAACACCTTATTTGTATACCTCATCAAAATTATCCCCTCCTCCGACACCTCTAAAAATTCCGCAATCGTGTTCTATTTCATTCGCTAATTGAATTAACATTTTATCACGAATTAAGCCGAACAATAATTGATTTGTAAAACGGTCAAACGAATTAAATTGTTACAAGATTACTGATAATAGCCGTAAATAAAATTATTATTAACAACCGGAAATAACCCAACTTCGACACGCTTACTGTGTCACTTAAATAAAAAAAACGAAAAACGCAATAGGAAACTGGTATAAACTTTACTTACCCCCTTAACCCACTGTTAATGATGAAGATCTGCACCTGAAATGGAAAAATTAATGAATGTGTGAAAAAAAATTCCGATCATAAAAATCGAATACCGAAAATAACATTTCTTGCGGAAATTTCAACGCAATTGAGACAACCTCATGACGTCAGTTGTAATGCAAAGTGGGCTAAGACTCATTATGGAATATTTTTTTTTAATAAAAAAATCCCCCAATTTATCAGGAACTGAAACCGGTTTCAGAATACAGGTGCGGAACAAAAAAGCAGGTCACATCGATAACCCACTGGCCATATTTGTATTTATTTTTAATTTTATCTTATTTATTTATTGTTATCGAATTGAGTGATAGTTTGTTTTGGTATTTATAACGATGATAATAAGGTGTTAAATGTCTCCCAAAAAATGCCACTCCTTTTCTAACCAACCAGAAAAAAAATTCGACATCCTAATTTATTTAAAATTTATCGATATAAAGTGTTATGGTGCTAAACTATTTAATTAAGAATGGCAAATTTTTAAGTCAACAATATTTTTAAAAAAATATTTATTTATTTTTTGTTTTTTGCAGATTTCGTTATACCTCAACGTGTGATATTGGCCATTATGGGCTTCTTGGCCATCTTGAATGCCTATACGATGCGTATCAGTTTATCGATTGCCATCACCGAATTGGTAGTTAAGAAAAATTACACAGATGGTGGTGAGGCAGCTGTGTGTCCTGCAGATGATTTGGATTCGGATTCTTCGGTAAGTATGAGACACATGATATTCCATAAAAAAGTGTTGTTATCGACTAATATTTCCATAGAAAATATTGCTATCGAAAAATATTTCGAAAGAAGATTATGTTTTCGAATGAAATCTTTATGGAAAACATTGTTATCGAAAATAATTACTATAGAAAATACTGTTATCGAACTGATTTTTTATAGAAAATATTGTTATCGAAAATAATTACTGTAGAAAATATTGTTATCGAACAGATTTTTCTCTGATATTCGAAATAAAATAGTTTTACTAATCAAATTTTACAATGAAAAATTTGATTATCGCTTACATTTTCTTTACAAAACATTGTTATCGATTTTATATTCCAATTAAAATATTGTTATCGCTCGCTTTTACAATGGAAGATTTTGCTATCGATAACATTTTCCATATAAAATATTGTTATCGATTACTTTTGGTATATATAATATTGTTATTCATAACGTTTCGATAAAAAATATTATTATCGAACACATTTTTATAAAAAAAATATTGTTATCGATTACGTTTTCTTACAGAATATATTATTATTTTCGATAGAAAATTTTGTTATCGAACATATTTTTGATAGAAAATATTATTATCGGTCAACTTTTATATAGAAAATATTATTATCGAAAATGTTTTCTATACACAATATTTATTATCGAACTTATTTTTTATAGAAAATAATCTTATATAGAAAAAAATTGTTATCGAACAGATTTTATATAGAAACAAAAAAAATTTCGATAGAAAATATTGTTATCGAGCAAATTTTCTATAGAAAATATTGTTATCGAACATATTTTCTACAGAAAATCCTGTTATCGAACATATTTTCTATTGAAACTATTGTTATCGAACATATTTTCTATAGAAAATGTTGTTATCGAATATTTTTCTACAAGAAACACATTTTCTATAAGAACTCTTTTTATCGATCTCATTTTCTACTGAAAATTTGGTTTTCGATTACCGTTGTTTTAGAAAATGTCGCTATCGATAATAATTTTCACAAAAATTTTGTTATCGAACATATTTTCATACATAATTGTGTTATCGATCACCATTTCTATAAAAAATATTTTTTATCGATTAAAATTTTCTATAAAGATTCAGCTGTCGACCCTTATCGATTACGTTTTCAATGCAAACTGTTTTTATCGAAAATGTTGTTATCGATCACATTTTCTATTGAAAATTTTGTTATCGATTACAATTTATTTAGAAAATGCTGTTATCGATCACATGCTATATAAAAATATTGTTATCGATCACATTTTCTATAGAAAAAAGCTGTTATCGACAATTTTTTCTAAAGAAAAATATGTTATCGATCATATTTTTCTTCGAAAGTTTGTTTATAAATCTTATTTTAGATTTAAAACGTTGTTATCGATCAGATTTTCTATACAAATACGGTTATCGATCATATTTTCCTAGTTGCAATACATAAAGTTGTTTATCGATTCTTTTTTTCTCTAAAATGGTGTTATCGATCACATTTTCTACAAAAATATTGTTATCGAACCTATTTTTTGGTCAATTCTTATTAATTATTTTCTTTTCCCTTTCCAGAGTGGTGGTGACTATGAATGGTCTGAAGAGTTGCAAGGTTTAATTCTATCCTCATTCTATATCGGTTACATTGTCACCCACATTCCCGGTGGTCTATTGGCTGAGAAATTTGGTGGTAAATGGACCTTGGGTTTGGGTATTCTCTCGACGGCTTTCTTCACATTGATCACCCCCATTGCCATCACAGAAGGTGGTTCGACTGCATTGATTATTGTTCGTATTTTGATGGGTTTGGGTGAGGGTACAACATTCCCTGCCTTGAGTGTGCTGCTGTCACAATGGGTTCCCCTCAAAGAACGTGGAAAATTGGGTGCCTTGGTATTGGGTGGTGGTCAAGTTGGTACCATTTTAGCCAATTCTCTATCTGGTGTGCTGTTAGATGCCTACGATTGGCCTATTGTGTTCTATTTGTTTGGTGGTCTCGGTGTTTTGTGGTTCTTGATTTTCGTAAGTATTTTGTTTTTCAAAATAATTTTGAATTTAATAAAAAAAAATAATTTGATTTTTTTATAGATTGTCTTGTGCTACAGCGATCCCGGCTCCCATCCCTTCATTAAACCCTCGGAACGTGAATATTTGGAAAGAGAAATGGGTTCGGTGACTCGCAATCTAAACTTGCCACCCACTCCCTGGAAGGCTATCTTGACTAATTTGCCTATGATTGCTTTGGTCTGCGCTCAAATCGGTCACGATTGGGGCTTCTATATTATGGTCACTGATTTGCCCAAATATATGGCTGATGTTATGCAATTCTCCATTAAGGCCAACGGCTTGTACTCTTCATTGCCCTACATCATGATGTGGATTTTCTCAATCTCGTCTGGTTTCGTTGGCGATTGGTTGATGACAAGAAAGATTTTGAGCATCACCAATACACGTAAATTGATGACAGCTATTGGTGAGTATTCGGAAAGGAAAATAAAATAGAAAGGAGATTGTTATCGATATATTCCATATAATATTGTTATCGAACAGATTTTCTATAAAAACTGAACTATCGAACAGATTTCTTATAGAACATTTCTAAATGTTGTTATACATTACATTTTACTTCAAAAATGTCCACCGATATTTCAGTTATCGAAAACATTTTCTATTCGAAATGTTGTTATCGATCGCATTAACTTTAGGAAACGTTTTATAAGTAACATTTTTTTATAAAAACTGTAGTTATCGATCACGCTTTTTTTAGAAACAATGGTTCTCGATTACGTTTTTTGTAAAAATTGTAGTTATCGATCACTTTTTTTAAAAAAACAATTGTTATAGATTACATTTTCTGTGAAAACTGTAGTTATCGATCACCCTTTTCCTAAAAACAATAGTCATCGATTAATTTTCTAAAGAAAATGTTATTATAGATTACATGTGTTATAGGAAATCTTTAGATAGTTTTGTTATCGATCACATTTTCTACATAAAAACAGTTATCGATATAAAAAGTAGTTATCGATATGATGTTATAAAGAAAATATTGATATCGTTAAGATTTTGTATAGAAAAAGTTGTTATCGTTCATGTTTTCTATAAAAAAAAATCTTATCGATGATAATTTCTCTAAAAAGGTTTGTTATCGATCACACATTCACCACAAAAAATTGTTATCGACCAAGTTTTCCGTAGAAAACATGGTGATCGGTCACCTATTCAATAAAAAAAATTGTTATCGATCACTTATCCAATAAAATATGTTGTTATCGTTAACAGCTGGCACTGAAAACGTTCTTATCGATCAAATATTGTACAAAAAATTTTGTTATCAGTCACATAACCGTAGAAAATATTTTTATCGATCAAATTTTCCCAAAAAAAGTTCTTATCGATCACATTATCCCTATAAAAATGTGTTATCGATCATATTTAGTATAGACATTTTTGTTATCGGTTATTCACTACAAAAATTTGTTATCGGCACATTATCCTTAGAAAATATATTTATTGACTAAATTTTCCCTAAAAAAGGTTGTTATCGATTACATCTTCCCTTTAAAAAAGGAAATATTGTTATCGATGAGATTTTTTATAGAAAAAGTTGTCATCGATCAAACTTTCACTACAATAAATTGTTATCGATCACATTATCTCTATACAAAGTAGTAATCGATCACATTTCCTAATCAAATTGTTGTTATCGAAAAGAATTTCTATATAAAATATTGTAAACGATAATATTTTCTATAGAAAAGGTTGTTATCGATTAGGTTTTCTATAGAGAATGTTGTTATCGATCACATTTTCAAAAAAATTTCTATATAAAATATTGTAAACGATAATATTTTCTATAGAAAAGGTTGTTATCGATTAGGTTTGCTATAGAGAATGTTGTTATCGATCACATTATCGACGTTAATTTCTATAGAAAAAGTTATTATAGATCATAATTTATTACAATAAATATTTATCGATCACATTTTCTATAGAAAAAATAATTATCGATCGCATTTTCTATATAAATTTTGTTATCGAAAAGTTTTTTTAATTGGGAATGTTGTTATCGATCACCTATAGAAAATGTTGTTATCGATCAAATTATTAATAAAAAGTTTTGTTATCGATAATGTATGTTATTACAAATTTATAATCGAACATGGGCAATCGGGCAAATATTATTTAAAAATTGTTGTTATCGATCACACTTTCTTTAGGAATTATTGTCATCGTTCACATTTTTGATGGAAAATTTTGTTATCGATAAGATTTAATATTGATAACCTTGTTATCGATTACATTTTACATTGAAATTACTATTATCGATCACATTTATCATGAAAAATGTTGTTATAGAAAATCATTGGTGGAACATTTTGTTATCGATAATATTTCATATTGATAATCTTATTATCGGTCACATTTTACATAAAAATTATTATTATCGACTACATTTATCATGAAAATTTTTGTTATCGATCAAATTTATCAGGATGAATGTTGTTATTGATCAAATTTTTGTAGAAATTATTGTTATTGACCATTTTTTTATAGAAAATCTTGTTATCGAAAAAATTATATATTGAAAATGTTGTTAGCGATCATATTTTACTTTGAAATTGTTATTATCGATCTAATTTTTTATGAACAAATTTATTATCGATATGATGTTATATTAATAATGCTGTTATCGGTTACATTTTACATAGAAATGATTATTATCGATTACATTTTTCATGGAAAATGTTGTTATCGATCGCATTTTACATAGAAATTGTTATTATCGATCACATTTTTGATGGAAAAAAATGTTGTTATCGATCAATTTTTAATCCTGTTAGGATAACAGTTAACATTGTTATTGATAATATTTTCATAGAAAATGTTGTTATCGATCAATTTTTTTTGTAGAAAATATTGTTATGAGATTAATTTTATTACAGAAAATTTTGTTATCGATCAATTTTATTAAAGAAAACGTTGTTATCGATCACATTTCCTATAGATTATTTTATATTATCGTTTTTTATTTTATTCTCGAAGCCATTTTTAAGTAAAATCTTAACCCATTTTTTTATTTTGTTATATTCCAGCTGCCTTTGGTCCCGCCATTTTCATGGTTGCTGCCTCCTATGCCGGTTGTGATCGTGTTGCTGTTGTTATCCTCTTCACCATTTGTATGGGTCTGATGGGTGCTTTCTATGCTGGCATGAAATTGAGTCCATTGGATATGAGTCCCAATTACTCGGGTACATTGATGGCCATTACCAATGGTATTGGTGCTATTACAGGCGTTATTACACCCTATTTGGTGGGCGTTATGACACCTAATGTAAGTGTTATGACAACTTTTCTTAATTAAATTTCCGTGGAATTAATTATTTGTCTTTTTTTTAAATTATAGGCCACCTTGTTGGAATGGCGTTTGGTGTTCTGGGTAGCCTTTGCTGTCTTGGTCGTAACCGCTATTATCTATTGCATTTGGGCCTCCGGCGAGGTACAACCATTTAATGATCCACCAGCCGTTAAGGATTGTGAGGCTGAGGAACGTGGCAAGAAGCCAGAAAAACATTAAAGACTGTTGACTGTGAGAACGGATTTTGTGACAACAAAAAAATGTAAAATTGTCGAAAACAGAAAACAATTCAGGAAATACCCCCTACATGATGCCTTTATACCAAAATGTGTATAGTTAAACGAAATGATTTATTTCCCATATATAAACAAAAAACTAAAACAGTATTTTTAACTGTTTCGATTTCATTTCATTATACATCAAACTAATTTTTAGTTTAGTTTAATCAAGCGAACTTAACAAAAAAATCCTAACCTTAAAAAAATTGAAGAAAAAGAAACGAAGTGCCTTCCCTTTCGTTAGAAAAAAAGTTTGTGTGAACAATGTTATTGCTGTAATTATTATTTAATTTTATTAATTAATTGTTGTCTATGTATGTAGATTAGTATTTAAATTTGTATTATTTTTTTATATAAGCTTTAGTTTTAGTTATAAATATAAAACAAATTTTTTATAGCAGTTTGGCTATATTAGAATTTTTTAGAGAAGTAAAAAATTAACATAAAAAAATAAAAGCCGTGTCCCAAATTTATATAGGAATTGTATGTGATATTTTTATAGCACAGTTTGTAATTTTTTTAAATGAATTTTTTGAAATGTGCCAATTAACAAAGAAAAAAAATGCGATTTGTTTAATGGGCTCAACCAAAAATTCAAAGCAATGATCAAAAAGCATTTTTGTATATGTGTAGGTATTATTTAAAAAAATAAATATGTAAATCTAAATCTGACTCTCTTACTTCCTCTTAGCTCCCTCTCAAGGATGCCGAAAGGTAGGCCTGAATATTTTTTTTTTAATTTTTCCAGTGAAACCCGTTCCTTTCTACCTTCTAAAATTCCTCCTCCACCTTCTTCCTAATTTCCACAATTTCAAATATTTTTTTTTTAATTTTCAATCTTGAGATTTACAAACGAATTTACTACAAATAATTTTTAGTCATTTTATTGTAGTAGTTTTTAGATTAATTAATTAATTTTTTTTGAAAAGAGAGCAGAATTGTCCAGATTTAACTTAACAAAAATACAACAACACTAAAACTGATTATTATATGAAGAATTTTGGTTCCTCCCATAAGGTTACTTTTCTAATAATTCTCTATGTAAATTTACTTAAATATTATTAAGACAATATTTTGTAAAATATTACTTAAAGAAACAAAATAAAAATCAATACAAAAAAATAAAAAACAATGTATTTTTTCCTTACACATTTTTTTAAAATATTTTTTTCGGGACACATTTTTTAAACTTTTTTAAAGGACCATAAGAACCTTATACAGGCGTGGATTTTTTTCAAAATATTTTTTAGAGGACCATAAGGACCCTATACAGGCGTGGATTTTTTCAAAATATTTTTTAGAAATATTTTTAAAATATTTTTTAGAGGACCATAAGACCCTATGCAGCCGTGGATTTTTTCAAAATATTTTGTAGAGGATCATAAGGACCCTATAGAGGTGTAGATTTTTTCAAAATATTTTTATGAGGACCATAAGGATCCTATACAGGCGTGGATTTTTTCAAAATATTTTTTAGAGGACCATAAGGACCCTATACAGGCGTGGATTTTTTCAAATATTTTTTAGAGGACCATAAGGACCCTATACAGGCGTGAATTTTTTCAAAATATTTTTAAGAGGACCATAAAGACCCTATACAGGCGTGGATTTTTTCAAAATATTTTTTAGAGGACCATAAGGACCCTATACAGGCGTGAATTTTTTCAAAATATTTTTAAGAGGACCATAAGGACCCTATACAGGCGTGGATTTTTTCAAAATATTTTTTAGAGGACCATAAAGACCCTATACAGGCGTGGATTTTTTCAAAATATTATTTAGAGGACCAAAGGGACCCTATACAGGCGTGGATTTTTTCAAAATATTTTTTAGAGGAGCATAAGGACCCTATACAGGTGTGGATTTTTTTTTTTTAATATCTTCCACTTGATCTTTCCATCTTTCCTTCTGCGTGAACCATCAGCTGGTTCGCTTTTATATGTCTTCTGGGCTGGGGCATCTTCATCCATTCTCACATCATATGACCTAGCCAACGTAGTCGCTGCAGCTCAATACGTCTAACAATGTCGATGTCCGAGAATAGCTGGTACAAGTCATGGTTCATTCGACGGCGATATTCACCGTCAACGCACATCGGCCCTTAGATCTTTCGGATAATTTTTCTTTCAAACACCCCAAAAGCTGCTCACATGCTTGCGCAAGTCCCATGCTTCAGATCCATATAAAAGCACGGATAGTATCATCGACTTGTAGAGTGTGAGTTTGGTCTGGCGGGAGGTGACCTTGCTTTTCAGTTGTTTGCTCAGACCATACTAGCATCTGTTGGCCATCACTATCCTTCTCCGAATTTCAAAACTGATGTCATTATTTTTGTTTATGGGGGTACTAAGGTATATAAAATCGTTGACTACCTCGAAGCTGTAGTTCTCAAGTTCCACAGTTGGTGCGAGTCTACTGGACGTCTTGCTCATTGATCAGCTTGGTATCAATGAGCCAGTGCCAAACCCACTTTGGCAGACTCCTTCTCAGTTTGTTCAAAGGTGGCTGTTACCGCTCTCAGTGTTCGACCCATTATGTCGATGTCATCGGCGTAGGCGAGTAACATGTGTTGTTTGGTGTACAGAGTGTCATTTCTGTTCACCTTTGCCTCTTGTATGACCTTTTCCAGCAGGTTATCCGGCATAGCTGTATTGATTTTGCAGGAATGCCAAACGCACACATGGATTTATACACCTCTGAACGGATAGCGCTGTCGACTGCGGCTTTATAGTCCACGAATAGGTGGAATGTGTCGATGTGTGTTTTCGTGGGTCTTTTCCAGGATTTGACGCAGAGTGAAAATTGACCAGATTTGCCAGGTCTGAAGCCGCATTGCTATGGGCCAATAATGTCATTGACCATTGGCTTCTGTCGTTCACACAGTACGCTGGATATGCGATGGGAAGAAGACGTATTCCTCTATAGTTGGCACATATCGTCTTGTCTCCTTTTTTGTGCACGGGACACAGGATACTGAGCTTCCAATCTTTGGGCATGCATTCATCTAGCCAAATTGTATTAATCAGCTGGTGCATGCTCCTTACCAGCATCTGACCACCAGTCTTGAATAGTTCGCCTGGTAACACATCGGCTCCTGCTGCTTTATTGTTCTTCAGCCGATTGATTGCTATTCCGACTTCATCTTGGCTAGGTGGTATACACTCTATACCGTCATATATTATTGGTTCTGGGGTATCCTCTTCACCGCTACTATTTGATACCAGAATCTTTTCAAAATGCTGCTTCCAGATCCTCAACACGCTGTCTGTATCTGTCAGAAGGTTTCCTTCTTTATCTCTACAGGAGGATGTGCCTGCACCAAAGCTTTCGGTTTGGTGGTTTACCCGTTGGTAGAATTTTCGGACTTCATTCTGACTCCTGTACATCTCGATTTGCTCACGCTCACGTTTTTCTGGTTCTTTCTCCTTTTTTCTGAAAATACGTTTCTCCTCTCCCCTTTTCTCCCGATAATTCTCCATCGCATTATGTGTTGCTTCGGTCCGCAGGGTTGCACTATACGCTGCGTTCTGCACATCAGTAGCATTACGACACTCCTGATCGTACCATGGATTTCTTAATGGTGGTCTTTAGTATCCAAGAGTTGATTTTGCTGCAGTTTGTAGGGAATGGACAATTCTCTGCCATTGTGCGTCTATATTATTATCGGGACATGGGGTGCTTTCGTCAAGCAGTTGATTAAGTTGAGCAGAGTTGGCCTCGGCTATCTGTTGTGTTTGCAGCTTTTCGACGTCAAATTTCCGTGTTACATTAGATCGCACACCTTTGCTGCTACATTAAGACGGGTGCGTACCTTGGCTGCCACAAGGTAATGGTCCGAATCGATATTCGCTCCTCGGATCGATCGGACGTCTAAAACATTGGATGAATGCCTTCCGTCTATCACAAAATGATCGATTTTAATTCTCATTGTTCGATCGGGAGAAATCCAATCCAAGTGTGTATATCGAGATGCTTGAATCTGGTGCTGCTAACTACCATGTTTTTTGCTGCCGCGAAGTCAATCAACCTCATGCTGTTGTCTGATGTTTCTTCATGGAGGCTGAATTTTCCGACGGTTTGGCCAAAGATATTTTCCCTTCCGATTTTTGCATTAAAATCTCCTAGCAGAAATTTATTGTCATGGCCAGGGCAACGGTCATATGCTGTTTCTAGGCGCTCCTAAAATATGTCTTTGGTCTGATCATCTTTATCTTCGGTCGGAGCATGGGTGCCAATAAGACTGATGCAGAAGAACTTCGCTTTTATACGGATTATAGCAATTCGCTCATCTACTGGGGTGAATCTGGAGACGAATCTTTTTTTCTCCTGTTAACCATAAATTCGCAGCCAAATTCACGTCTCGTTTCATGGCAGCAGGGCAGTTAGTAATCTTATGATTAACTTACGCCAGTCCCTTTCCATCGTATTTCCTGTAAGGTAATAACATCGGCATTGAACTTCTTGAGTATATCTGCCAAAGCGCACACTGCGCCTGTTCTGGTCAACGTGCGCACATTCCAAGTGTAGACTCGCATATCGTGTGGGCAAATAACCCGACGCCTCAACCCACTTTTTTTAGTTCTTATGGGTGAACTCGCGGCACATATCAGCTCACTATTTCAATGGTTGATGAAACTAGTTACCCCAGGTGACACCGCAGGGAGGTCAGTGTCCACAATTGAGATGAAAGAGGGACCAAGATAAGCCTGGACTTCGCCATGTTAAAGCCAATCAGAGCCGTTGCTTGGTATCTATCATCCCCTACGCCACCCAAAATATATTTTTTCAAAAATAATTTTTTTTTTAAATCCCCGCCTTTCAAAAGACCCTTAAAAATATTTTATTTTAATCTACGCCTTGTATGGATCCCTCAAAAACGATTTTAAAAAAATCCACCCCTTGCGATAGACCCTCAAAAAATAATTTTTAAAAAATCCACGCCTTGCGATACACTTAAGGGTCCACCCCTTGCGATGGACCTTCAAAAATAATTTTGAAAAAATCCACGTCTTCTTAAGTCTTCAAAAAAAAATTTTTTTTGAAATTCCTGTTTTTTAATAAAAAATATATTTTTAAAATAATTATTAAATATTTATAATTAAAATAAAATTTTGATTAGTATATTTGATTGTCGTGGCATCTTCACTTCCTCTTGGCTCTCTGTTCCGCCTCATGCTGCCTTAAAGTTTCCGGATCATTATAATACTGAACTTCTCCAGAAGCCCAAATACAATAAACCACAGCAGTACCACACAGCACAATAAAAGCTACCCAGAACACTCCACGCCATTCCAATAGGGTGGCCTGTAAAACATCAATTCTTAGCCTACACCCAGCTAAATCCAAAAACACTTACATTAGGTGTCATCACGCCCACCATATACGGTGCAACCACCCCCGTTATGGCTCCAATACCATTCGTAATGGCCATCAAAGTCCCTGCATAATTTGGACTCATGTCAAGAGGGCCCAATTTCATTCCCGCATAATAGGTACCCATGAGGCCCATACATATGGTAAAGAGGATGACCACAGCCAAACGATTACAACCGGCATAAGAGGCGGCAACCATAAAAATGGCCGGACCAAAGGCAGCTGATGGTTATAAGGGGAAATAAGTCTCAGAATGTAGTTCCGCAATGAGCTTACCAATAGCCGTCATTAATTTCCTGGTATTTGTGATATTCAAAATCTCCTTTGCCATTAGCCAATCTCCCACAAATCCCGAAGAAATCGATACGATCCACATACTAACATAGGGTAAAGAGGAATACAATCCATTGGCCTTAATGGAGAATTGCATTACATCGGCCATGTATTTGGGTAAATCCGTCACCATAATATAGAAACCCCAGTCATGGCCTATCTGGGCACATATCAAGGCAATCATGGGCATGCTGGTGAAAATTGCCCGCCAGGGTGTTGGAGCCACATTTTCATTGTGGCTAACAAAATTCAACTCCGTTTCCAGATATTCTCTTTCCTTATCCGTTATAAAAGGATGTACCGAAGGATTGCTGTAGCATATGAAGGTCTACAGAATATGGGCATATTAAAATCAGATTTCCGATACTGCATCCCGACATACTTACAAAAATGATAAACCACAAAACACTGAGGCCACCGAATAGATAAAATACCACTGGCCATTTGAAGTAGTGCAGCAAAAATCCCGATATAGAATTGGCCAAAATGGTTCCAATTTGTCCACCACCCAATACCAAGGCTCCCAGCTTACCACGTTCTCCAATAGGTACCCAACGTGACAGCAAAACACTCAGAGCTGGAAAGGTGGTACCCTCTCCTAAGCCCATCAGAATACGTAGAACAATCAAAGCAGTGGAACCACCCATATCAATGGCCCATGGAGTTATCATGGTGAATATTGCTGTCGACAGAATACCCAAACTCAAAGTCCATTTACCACCAAATTTATCAGCCAATAGGCCACCCGGAATGTGGGTTATAATATAGCCAATATAAAAAGAGGATAATATAAAGCCCTGCAATTTCTCCGACCATTCATAGTCACCACCAGGCTGGAAGCAGGACCAAATTTTTTTATTCCAATTATTTTCTTCCTGTCGTTTATACAAACCGATGTATCGGGATCAAGGCCATCATCTTGGGCCTCACACACGGCAGTACCAATATCCTCCTTGGTGTGATTCCGTTTGACCACCAGTTCGGTGATGACAATGGACAGACTTACGCGCATTGTGTAGGCATTCACAATGGCCAAAAAGGCCATAACGGCCAATACGACCCGTTGCAACATTTCGGAACTCAAATAAAAATTGTCAACTTCCAAAAAAAAATAATTTTCTATGTTATACGACAATATGTTAGAATGCTCTAGGCTGGGACTTCTATCACAAGGCGTGGATTTTTTAAAGAAGATGTTTTCAGGGTCTATCCAAGGCGTGGATTTTTTAAGAAATATTTTTTCAGGGTCTATCACAAGGCGTGGATTTTTTAAAGAAGATTGTTGCAGGGTCTATCACAAGGCGTGGATTTTTTAAAGAAGATTTTTTCAGGGTCTATCACAAGGCGTGGATTTTTTTAAAGAATACTTTTTCAGGGTCTATCCAAGGCGTGGATTTTTTAAAGAATACTTTTTCAGGGTCTATCCAAGGCGTGGATTTTTTAAAGAATACTTTTTCAGGGTCTATCCAAGGCGTGGATTTTTTAAAGAATACTTTTTCAGGGTCTATCTAAGGCGTGGATTTTTTAAAGAATACTTTTTCAGGGTCTATCCAAGGCGTGGATTTTTTAAAGAAGATTTTTTCAGGATCTATCCAAGGCGTGGATTTCTTAAAGAAGATTTTTTCAGGGTCTATCCAAGGCATGGATTTTTTTAAAGAAGATTTTTTCAGGTTCTATCCAAGGCGTGGATTTTTTTAAAGAATATTTTTTTCAGGGTCTATCACAAGGCGTGGATTTTTTAAAGAAGATTTTTTCAGGGTCTATCCAAGGCGTGGATTTTTTAAGGAATATTTTTTCAGGGTCTATCCAAGGCGTGGATTTTTTTAAAGAAGTTTTTTTCAGGGTCTATCCAAGGCGTGGATTTTTTTAAAGAAGTTTTTTTCAGGGTCTATCCAAGGCGTGGATTTTTTTAGGAAGATTTTTTCAGGGTCTATCGAAGCCGTAGATTTTTTTAAAGAAGATTTTTTCAGGGTCTATCACAAGGCGTGGATTTTTTTAAAGAAGATTTCTTCAGGGTCTATCACAAGGCGTAGATTTTTTAAAGAAGATGTTTTCAGGGTCTATACAAGGCGTGGACTTTTTTAAAGAAGATTTTTTTCAGGGTCTATCACAAGGCGTGGATTTTTTAAAGAAGATGTTTTCAGGGTCTATCCAAGACGTGGATTTTTTAAGGAATATTTTTTCAGGGTCTATCCAAGGCGTGGATTTTTTAAGGAATATTTTTTCAGGGTCTATCCAAGGCGTGGATTTTTTAAGGAATATTTTTTCAGGGTCTATCCAAGGCGTGGATTTTTTGAAGAAGATTTTTTCAGGGCGTGGATTTTTTAAAGAATATTTTTTCAGGGTCTATCCAAGGCGTGGATTTTTTAAAGAATATTTTTTCAGGGTCTATCCAAGGCGTGGATTTTTTAAAGAAGATTTTTTCAGGGTCTATCCAAGGCGTGGATTTTTTAAGGAATATTTTTTCAGGGTCTATCCAAGCCGTGGATTTTTTTAAAGAAGATTTTTTCAGGGTCTATCCAAGGCGAGGATTTTTTAAAGAAGATTTTTTCAGGGTCTATCCAAGCCGTGGATTTTTTTAAAGAATACTTTTTCAGGGTCTACCCAAGGCGTGGATTTTTTAAAGAATACTTTTTCAGGGTCTACCCAAGGCGTGGATTTTTTAAAGAATACTTTTTCAGGATCTACCCAAGGCGTGGATTTTTTAAAGAATACTTTTTCAGGGTCTACCCAAGGCGTGGATTTTTTAAAGAATACTTTTTCAGGGTCTACCCAAGGCGTGGATTTTTTTAAAGGATATTTTTCAGGGTCTATCCAAGGCGTGGATTTTTTTAAAGAATATTTTTTCAGGGTCTATCCAAGGCGTGGATTTTTTTAAAGAATATTTTTTCAGGGTCTATCACAAGGCGTGGATTTTTTAAAGAATATTTTTTCAGGGTCTATCACAAGGCGTGGATTTTTTAAAGAATACTTTTTCAGGGTCTACCCAAGGCGTGGATTTTTTTAAAGGATATTTTTCAGGGTCTATCCAAGGCGTGGATTTTTTTAAAGAATATTTTTTCAGGGTCTATCCAAGGCGTGGATTTTTTTAAAGAATATTTTTTCAGGGTCTATCACAAGGCGTGGATTTTTTTAAAGAATATTTTTTCAGGGTCTATCACAAGGCGTGGATTTTTTAAAGAATACTTTTTCAGGGTCTACCCAAGGCGTGGATTTTTTTAAAGGATATTTTTCAGGGTCTATCCAAGGCGTGGATTTTTTTAAAGAATATTTTTTCAGGGTCTATCCGAGGCGTGGATTTTTTTAAAGAATATTTTTTCAGGGTCTATCACAAGGCGTGGATTTTTTAAAGAATATTTTTTCAGGGTCTATCACAAGGCGTGGATTTTTTAAAGAATACCTTTTCAGGGTCTACCCAAGGCGTGGATTTTTTTAAAGGATATTTTTCAGGGTCTATCACAAGGCGTGGATTTTTTAAAGAAGATTTTTTCAGGGTCTACCACAAGGCGTGTATTTTTTTAAAGAATATTTTTTCAGGGTCTATCACAAGGCGTGGATTTTTTTAAAGAATATTTTTTCAGGGTCTATCACAAGGCGTGGATTTTTTTAAAGAAGATTTTATCAGGGTCTATCACAAGGCGTGGATTTTTTTAAAGAATATTTTTTCAGGGTCTATCACAAGGCGTGGATTTTTTTAAAGAATATGTTTTCATCTATCTATCTCAAGGCGTGGATTTTTTTAAAGAATATTCTTTCAGGGTCTATCCAAGGCGTGGATTTTTTAAAGAAGATTTTATCAGGGTCTATCACAAGGCGTGGATTTTTTAAAGAAGATTTTATCAGGGTCTATCACAAAGCGTGGATTTTTTAAAGAAGATTTTTTCAGGGTCTATCACAAGGCGTGGATTTTTTAAAGAAGATTTTTTCAGGGTCTATCACAAGGCGTGGATTTTTTAAAGAAGATTTTTTCAGGGTCTATCCAAGGCGTGGATTTTTTAAAGAAGATTTTTTCAGGGAAAGAATATTGTCGTGTGTGAACCCGAAAGCCGTTTCAATACAATATTTTGACAATTAAATATTTTGAAAATTAAAATTAAAAATAAAATTTTTTAATTTATTCAAAATTCGAAATGTAATCCACTCCTTTTTGGCAAAATGGACCACAATTCCTGCTTTTTCGAATCAATGCATAGATGTAAGTCGGAATGTTAAATATCTTGAAGTCCCTCACCTTATATTTCCTTCCAGATCTATTCTCCCCACAAAATTTAGCCATTGGTTCCATAACAGTTCTTGTCATCGTCAATGCCCTATCCATGAACTACGATGCAAAGCTGCAGCTTCCCGGGAAAATGGAATTATGGAAAGAAGAGAAATTGCCAACTAAAATTGGAATACCCAAACGATTAAAAGGCTATCTAAATTTGGAACCAACCGAGAGATTTTCCTGCGGCGACTATACAAATCGAAGAAACAAACTCCAAATCCCTACAAATAAAATTCCAGGTAATGACCTTTTATTATCTGCCGAAGAAGAGGATGAACGCCAAGTCCACATTTTGATAATGTTATCCTTTTATATGGGCTATGCCATGAGTCATATACCAGGAATCGTGTTTCCTGAATACTTTCGAGGTATTCGAATGCTATCGAACTTTATGGTGGTTATATATTTTATAAGTATAATACCATGTAGCCCGATGGGATTCAATGGCTGGAGGAGCATTATTTTGTTGCGTTTCTTTATGGGCTTTGGACAAGGTACCATATTGCGAATATTGGGGAAATTATTGGGCGAGCGTCAAAGCAGCGAGGAAATAATTATTTGGCAACGATTAATAGCTCATAATGGCCACATTACCATACTGCTGATAAATCTGCAAGCTACGCTACTGAGATATGCTTTCAAATGGGTCAATTTTTATTATTTCGTGGCCACTGGAGCTTCTCTATGGACATTGTGTTTGGTAAGTAGGCGAATAGATGGGGTTGTCAATAGACGATCTGAAGGGTGTCTTCATATAATACTATTTTTGAAGATTCATCAAGTCGAGGATATATTTTTTAGGGCTCTACTAAAGGCGTGGATTTTTAAAATAATATTTTTTAGTGTCTATCTCAAGGCGTGGATTTTTAAGCCTTTTTTGAGGATTTTTTAAAGAATATTTTTTGAGGCCATACCAAAGGCGTGGATCTAAAGAATATTTTTTGAGGCCATACCAAAGGTGTGGATTTTTGAGGCCATACTAAAGACGTGGATTTTTTAAAGAATATTTTTTACGTATTCCTCTAATTCCAGTGGATCACTTGCCAGTACAGTGAACGAATATTCCCTAGTAACAATCAAGAGAATCTACCCATATCGGTTACACCCAGTGGAGTTATTTTATCAAACCCATCATCCAATCAATCGATTACACCCTCCATTTCCAACGAAGAACAACAAAATTTTCTACGACCCTCTTGGTGGAATTTAGCATTAAACTCGATGCAATATCATTGGACGGAAAGTCTATTAACTGCCGAACTAAATAATTTAATATTGGATTTAAGAGGAGAGCATTTCTGCAGTATATTCGGAACAATTTTAAAAATCGCAATACCCTTTCTAATTTGTTGGTTATGTTCGTTACTAATAAACAGATTAATTCGATCTTATGTGGATCGACATACCTTGAATTCCAGAGACTACAGAAAATTGAAATTAATTTTGGGTAAGAGCAAAAATGATTTCCGAACACATTCTTCAATAATTATTTTTATTTCAGTGGCATACATTCCCCAAATATTTTCCGATTTTGCATCCTGTCTCATATCCTGCCAAGAAATTAATCCCTTGGATATGATTTTCAATTGTGCCATTTCTGTGATGGCCAAAATTCACACAAATATTAACTTGAGCTTATTGGAGATGCAGTCGAATAGCAACAATGGCAGTATAAGGTCACTGGTCCATGAACTGGGTTCAATAACAAACATTATTGGACCTTATATTGAAAATCTTATGGGAGAGGAGGTAGGTCTTCTAATTAAAATATGTCTTCAATTTGTGATAAACTAGTTTTTACAGGGT